GTTAATTTCGAGCATATGTTAGATATGCAATCTTCAAGATACCTTGCAGCAGATTTTAGGATTTTGTACAAACGCAGTAAGTGAAGCAATTCTTCAAAAATATTTGTAGAGTGATTTAACCAGCCTGCTTCAAATTCATAACTTATTGCAAGGCATTAACCATTTGGAGATCACATCGGCTCCGTTGAACGAGTTTTCGACTTCCCGCTTCCATGCTGTGTATCACCGACGTATTCACAGAGTGCAAAGTGAACGAGGACATACGAGAGGACAAAGCAAGGGGCTTTTGTTGCATTTTCTCAGGGTGCCTCGTTTATTTTGCGTGGTTTACACGTACGTGCACTTTTTACAATGAGGCTGCCATTTCTTTTTTTCACCGCAGTGCCGTCTAGCGTCTGTCATATTTTACTGCCCCGTCGGTGTGCATGTGGGAACGCGCGGGACGGTGCGGCGGTGTATGCAGTGTATGCTCTCAGTGCACATGGTACTGCTTAACTTCGCGATACATGGTCAAAACACAGCAAAGCTTTGCGAGTGTAAAGGTGCTATTAAGTAGTCCGTAAGCTGTCAGCTTCAAAATGGCTGAAATAGAAAGCAGCGGCGACCCACGAAATGTTTCCGCAGTGGTGCGTATATATACACATACATATGGGGTGAGTAGATTTGCAATCCATTCCTTAAGCAGCCCGTGTAAATGGGTAATTGGTTAGTGTGTTTTGTTATATAGCTGGTCTTATTGGGTTCTGGTAGTATGCACTAGCGTTAAATTTTCGGAAGACCCTCGAAGTAATGGGTGAAACATAAACGAGACAAGCGAATGAATAGATAGCTTTAGTATGTCGGAAGACGCCTACGTTAGTGCTGGCCACGGTGTCCGTGGTGCGGGCGTACGTCTCAGGGCTACTACTAAAATAGAACGCGCTGCCTGCTAACTGGTGGTCTTTTAGTACGATTCCAGCTAATGCAAATGCAAGCAACTGTGGCGGCATCTAGTTATAAAATTACTTTAAGCACTTTAAGAACTTCAGTTGTGGCATTAAACTGAGTTGACCCGACGTCACCCGGTTGTTGCATCTCCGTGCCGCGTTCGGTCCAAGGTTGCATCGGACGGCCCGAAACACATCGCTTTCTTTCGGCATATGCCATGATCGATTATTACCATAATTGAAGACCCCTATTACCTGGCTGAGCTCGACTTGTGGCCGCATTAGCATCTTAGTAACAAGCGAATGAGTACAGTGTCGCCATCTCTGCGTTGCTGCTGAAACTTGAGCGAACCTTGTAGACAATTCTTTTAAGCCTTCTCACCCCAAATCTAGTGTGTATCTCAAAAACACTGTTCTTTTATCATAAGTATACAACTGGCGAAGCCTAATTACTCTAACCTAAATTAAATACGGCCGGTATCTAGGAGTGACGGAGTTTATTAACGCAGGCTGACGAAAGTAAAGATTCGAAGTGGGTGGCTCTTGCTTCAAGAGGCACCGCCATCTTGCTGTATATATAGGGCAAGATGGCGACCCCGTACGCGAGCGACCTTATACGCATACGTACGGGGTCACTCGCGTGCGTTAATGTTGAGCGCTATATGCCGCAAATAGCGTTGGTATGTAAGAGTGTGGGCTACGTTTACATTCTGCATATTCCCAGTCTGGAGCAGGCAACGCTAACGCTAACGCTATATCTTAGCGTTTACTGTTTTCCGCTATACTAAAGCGTTATAATAGGTACACGATTGTCCAGCAGCACTTTAAGCACACGCATTATAATGTTTAGAATGACTGTCGGGTTTTTTTGCTGTGATTTTTTAAGTTTGAAGTAACTCTATAATCGCCAGACGACCATCTGGTTCTGCTCAGAACGTCGCAATACAAAATTTGTGGCACGAAGGAAGCACAAAAACCGATCTCTTGCCGTCGTTGTAGTCAAAAGCTCGTGTCTGCTCGTTGCACATGCCCCGCCGCGGTGGTCTAGTGGCTAAGGTACTCGGCTGCTGACCCGCAGGGCGCGGGTTCGAATCCCGGCTGCGACGGCTGCATTTCCGATGGAGGCGGAAATGTTGTAGGCCCGTGTACTCAGATTTGGGTCCACGTTAAAGAACCCCAGGTGGTCTAAATTTCCGGAGCCCTCCACTACGGCGTCTCTCATAATCATAGAGTGGTTTTGGGACGTTAAACCCCACATATCAATCAATCAATCGTTGCACAGGTTAACAAACGAATGTACGATGGATGAGCTTGAACGTCCGCGTAGAAGCAACACAAAGAGAAAATAAAAATAAATATCTTGCCGATGTGGAAGTTCGGAATGACGTATGCCAACTTTGGTGCGAGCAGTCGCCACTGGCGATGCGCCGAAAGTTAGTCCGTTTTGGTGACATTGTTATCGGTTTTTTTTCTTTCCTTTTTTTATGCAGCATCAGGACGAGCGAACATGTCCAGGTAACGACCTGGATTAAACGATTGTGAGTCAATTATTCACAATACTTAGACCACCGCGAAAAAAAAAGTGTGGCTGTCATAAAACTGCCCCGATTATCTACGGAAAATCGACAAGTCGAGAAATGACGTGCCACCGAAAAAGCGTAGGGGCATGCACGTTCCTGAAAAAACACTTATGTCATGCGTTACTTTCTGTCACGCAGTTTGAAAAGTGCTCGTTCGATAATTTTAAAGTTGCACGCGCTTGGATTTTTATAGCCGCAGGCATTTGAACTCATGTGCTGTTGCATAGAAACAGGGGATGTTGATGTTACAACAGAAGAATTCTGGGCAAAGCATTTTCTGTATTAACCTTCAGCTGTGACAATGCTTCTCTTTGCTGCAGATGATCAAGTGTACCAGCGACCGAGCAGAATCACAAGCTGGGGTGAAGAAGTGACGGCCACTTTAGGATGACACAACGCATATAAAATATTTGTCGGAGAAGGCCCGTGACGTTTTTTTGAAAGGAGGTGCACCTCGCATGTTTCGGCTGCAAGCCTTTTGTGCTCATGGTACTTATTTTTGCAGCCATCGACCAGTCAGAGCCCGACATTGCAATTTCGGGCAGCACAGCTTCTTTAGCTCATAAAAAAAATGAAAGACTTTAATTTTTCATGCGCCGCACATGCAAAACGCGGCAATTACCACCCAGCAGTGGCAGTTCCGAACGGCCGGAGGAGAGAGGGAGTGATGAAGATGCACTAGTTCGAGGCTGTGCTCGTGCTTTCCGTGTAAATGATCGATGCTAAATTACCACCAAGTTACGTAACACTGCGCCACCAAGTTATGTAACACTGCGCCACTACGTGTGGCACAAGGGAGTGATTTGATTATAAATGTCCAGTCTATGTGACTGAACGTCCAGCGGACGGCAAGCATATAATTTTTATCCATATAATTCTTCATATAATTGCTATAAAAAGATTCAAAAACTATGGAAGCGGGATCGCAATTTTTGAAGAACTACACTGTCTCTGCCGTAAAGAGTTGGTCCATTGGAAAAATCGAACATTCACGCGTCGTTTTCACTAGTTTAGTTGTTTAGCTGGCCTTTGCCACCCTTCCTATAGGCTATATCTCCGCGCCGATTATATCTTCATAAAGCCTGCTCACAATGCGAGCGTTGATCCTATCGCGCTTGTCGGCGGCACCCTGTTGTCTCCACTTGGCCAGTCGAAAACTCACAAAATGGAGGGAAATAAGTTGATCGCGCACGCTAATTATGCGAGGCAAGGAAGAATAGGTGGGCGAGTGCATGGTAAAACAGCGTGGGAGTGTCAGGAGCATATGCGTGCGCACGAGGGCGGCGGGGTGGAGGCAATCGCGACCTAGTCACCTAAAAAAGGGAGAAGGGACAAAATCAGCCCCGTACATTGACTTGATAGGAAGGAGGGCACTGCGATGTGCTGTCGCCCACCTGATCGAGAACCCGGCGCACGCCTATGCCTCAGTTATGGTAGAACGGTTGCGAAGCTCGGCTGCTGACTCGAAAAGTCGCGGGTTCCGACCCAGCTGCCACAGTCGCATTTCAGCGAAGGTGAATTGTTAGAGGCCTGTGTACCAAAATTTAGGCACAATCCTTTGGGGCCGGTGAAGCTTTCATGAGCACCTCCCTGTCCTTCCTCATTTAATCCTCCTCCTCCTCCACCTTCTTTTCCATCCGCCATTTGAAACTGTGTATTTTTCATTTGTTTTTTTGTATATTTTTTATTTTTTTACGTGACAATAAGAATACGAGGTGCTGCGGCGTGCCTCGTCATCCTTTTGTAATGTAGTTGTGACAGTGAAGTCTGCCGCAGCAAGACTGAAAATTATGACACTCTTTATTTTGAAGAACCGGTGCCCGGTGATTGTGCTCAATATATATATATATATATATATATATATATATATATATATATATATATATATATATATATATATATATATATACACAAGGGATACATACTTTGCACTGATAGCGGCGAGAACAGTCGTCGGCCGTCTAGTCATCTTATCATCGGTGGAACACGTTTTCTTTTATACGCCAATCACGGAACCTTGCAGCACTATCTCTGGGGCTCGCATACGCTCTTGAATAAACTGGACGATTCGCGTCTTGCGCGTAGTCTTCACGCAATGATCCATAACAATAGCGAAGCTAAGAAGCTCTTCAGACACGGCGGGTGGTCTACGCCTCGAACGTCGCCAACAGTCACTGTGCTTACATGAAAAAACCCGAATACATGAAAAAAATTCACTAAACATGCATGAACATATCGCCGTTTTGGCACATATGATATGATTGCTAACTGTAGAGCACATGGGTACAGCGATGTAACGTTTTCTAAGACTCGAAGTGCAATTCATAACTGACTTTTTTCTTTATTTGGGTTATTTTGCGCACCAGATGCACTCATGCGCGGATTGTGGCATCCACTGACGTCGTCTTCTGAGCGAACGCGTCCACTTCAATGGAGCTACAATCGAAGGTGACAATGTCTCCTGAGTATACTTCCGAATCAAGAAACTAGAAAGTTGGGTAAGTGCCAGATGAACTAAGTGTTTATTATGGACACATAATTTCTACGTGGCTAAAGCACAAACTTTACGCGCCCTCTCTTATGATGTCAGGAATATCTTGATGACGTTTTGTAGAAGTCTGCTTCCGTGGGTGAAATGCACACGAAAGGCTCCGTTGCATTGCCTGTGTAACATAGGCACCCACTTTTACAATCTTCTTTGCCATATTCACCACACTGCAAAACAAAACACCAACATCTGAAACAGTACGTGAGAATAAAAAATACAAGTGATTTCTCTTTACGTATCAAATAATTACCAAATAATACTGCCTATTTAACAGTAGTATAATCAGTCATCCATTTTTATTGGTGGCAATGCAAACTTCATGGTACAAGACAATGCGACAGTGTTGGTGGCATTATGTTTCATTAATTACCAAATAATACTGCCTATTTAACAGTAGTATAATCAGTCATCCATTTTTATTGGTGGCAATGCAAACTTCATGGTACAAGACAATGCGACAGTGTTGGTGGCATTATGTTTCGCTTAGAGGAATTGACGCACAAGCTTTGAAACTCATTCCAAACAAATATTAAAACGGCATAGCACATGTAACCGGCTCATACTTCCTAATTTTACGGCACCCAAGCATTAAAATCATTTGTGCCGTCACATGCTGTTACTGCCTATTTAACAGTAGTATAATCAGTCATCCATTTTTATTGGTGGCAATGCAAACTTCATGGTACAAGACAATGCGACAGTGTTGGTGGCATTATGTTTCGCTTAGAGGAATTGACGCACAAGCTTTGAAACTCATTCCAAACAAATATTAAAACGGCATAGCACATGTAACCGGCTCATACTTCCTAATTTTACGGCACCCAAGCATTAAAATCATTTGTGCCGTCACATGCTGTTATTCGCTGTTATGAGCGGTCTGGGGATGTCGATATTACTCAGACCGTGGTACTTAAGAACAAGTTACTAACAATGTATGGCTGTATCTGATGTACCACTAATCGATTGCAATAGTATTTATTAATTGCATGGCGGCATGTGTCGGCAAACTTGCTCATAAGTCGGCTTATTCGGACTCGGATCGAGCCGTGATCTGAGTGCTGATTGAGCCTGGGGGGTGGTGGGTTTTGGTCATTTTGAGTCCGAGTGGAGCCCGACTGGAGAAAATTAGGGTGAGTCTAAGTGAATCTGAGTCCGAGTGAATCCGTAGGAAAAAAAAAAACAAACATAGGTGAGTGTGAGTGGGCTCGACGTTGTTTTGCCGACCTCTCATCCTATCACTCAGCTTCACTATTACTGCTCGCTTATATCAGGTTCAGTGCATGTTAATTATACCTACTCACACATGAACACAGTAGTGCTCATACGCCAGCTCAATATTGATTGAAAAAGTGCGTGAGTTAACGAATTTGGGAGGTGACTTGATCATTCCCGTTATGTGGGGCTCTGGTTTGAAAAAGTCCAACGAGACTCATCACTTGAATAAAAATGTCCTTAGTAAATTGGAACCACTGATAACTTATATTTAAAGAAGTGACGTCGAAAGCGCCAAACAGAGCAATTGTGCGAGATATTGGTGCTAAAAGCACGGACACCTTGGACGAAAATGACACCTTGGACATTTTGGCAGTGGCGGTCGTGGCAGCAGGAAGTCGAGCCCACTGAGCAACGTTCTTCCTTTGCGCAGGTGCTGACTTGTGCATATCGTGACAGTTGTCTGGTTCGGCTCTTCGGGCTATCGGGATATTCTCTGGATTTCTCGACCCGTCTACTTGGAATATCTGGTCAAGCAACGTCACTACCCTGTCGCTACAGCCACAAAGAACGAACTTTCTGCGCAAGCACGGACTGCGAGGACACCTACCGGAGACACTACTTAGGCTCAACACTGTGCTCGTGTAGCCACATTTTGGCAGTGGCGGTCGTCAAAACAAAACACCAAATCTGAAACAGTACGTGAGAATAAAAAATACAAGTGATTCTCTTTACGTATCAAATAATTACCAAAATACTGCCTATTTAACAGTAGTATAATCAGTCATCCATTTTTATTGGTGGCAATGCAAACTTCATGGTACAAGAACAATGCGACAGTGTTGGTGGCATTATGTTTCATTAATTACCAAATAATACTGCCTATTAACAGTAGTATAATCAGTCATCCATTTTTATTGGTGGCAATGCAAACTTCATGGTACAAGACAATGCGGACAGTGTTGGTGGCATTATGTTTCGCTTAGAGGAATTGACGCACAAGCTTTGAAACTCATTCCAAAAAAATATTAAAACGGCATCAGCACATAGCACAGTAACCGGCTCATACTTCCTAATTTTACGGCACCCAAGCATTAAAATCATTTGTGCCGTCACATGCTGTTACTGCCTATTTAACAGTAGTATAATCAGTCATCCATTTTTAGGTGGCAAATGCAAACTTCATGGTACAAGACACATGCGACAGTGTTGGTGCATTATGTTTCGCTTAGAGGAATTGACGCACAAGCTTTGAAACTCATCCAAACAAATATTAAAACGGCATAGCACATGTAACCGGCTCATACTTCCTAATTTTACGGCCACCCAAGCATTAAAATCATTTGTGCCGTCACATGTGTTATTCGCTGTTATGAGCGGTCTGGGGATGTCGATATTACTCAGACCGTGGTACTTAAGAACAAGTTACTAACAATGTATGGCTGTATCTGATGTACCACTAATCGATTGCAATAGTATTTATTAATTGCATGGCGGCATGTGTCGGCAAACTTGCTCATAAGTCGGCTTATTCGGACTCGGATCGAGCCGTGATCTGAGTCTGATTGAGCCTGGGGGGTGGTGGGTTTTGGTCATTTTGAGTCCGAGTGAGCCCGACTGAGAAAAATTAGGGTGAGTCTAAGTGAATCTGAGTCCGAGTGAATCCGGTAGGAAAAAAAAACAAACATAGGTGAGTGTGAGTGGGCTCGACGTTGTTTTGCCGACCTCTCATCCTATCAACTCAGCTTCACTATTACTGCTCGCTTTATATCAGGTTCAAGTGCATGTTAATTATACCTACTCACACATGAACACAGTAGTGCTCATACGCCAGCTCAATATTGATTGAAAAAGTGCGTGAGTTAACGAATTTGGGAGGTGACTTGATCATTCCCGTTTATGTGGGGCTCTGGTTGAAAAAGTCCAACGAGACTCATCACTTTGAATAAAAATGTCCTTAGTAAATTGGAACCACTGATAACTTATATTTAAAGAAGTGACGTCGAAAGCGCCAAACAGAGCAATTGTGCGAGATATTGGTGCTAAAAGCACGGACACCTTGGACGAAAATGACACCTTCGTGGCAGCAGGAAGTCGAGTCCCTGAGCACGTTCTTCTCTTGCGCAGGTGCTGACTTGTGCATATCGTGACAGTTGTCTGGTTCGGCTCTTCGGCTATCGGGATATTCTCTGGATTTCTCGACCCGTCTACTTGGACTATCTGGTCAAGCAACGTCACTACCCCGTCGCCTACAGCCACAAAGAACGAACTTTCATGCGCAGCACGGACTGCGAGGACACCTACCGGAGACACTACTTAGGCTCAACAATGTGCTCGTGTAGCCACATTTTGGCAGTGGCGGTCGTGGGCAGCAGGAAGTCGAGTCCACTGAGCAACGTTCTTCCTTTGCGCAGGTGCTGACTTGTGCATATCGTGACAGTTGTCTGGTTCGGCTCTTCGGGCTATCGGGATATTCTCTGGATTTCTCGACCCGTCTACTTGGAATATCTGGTCAAGCAACGTCCACTACCCTGTCGCTACAGCCACAAAGAACGAACATTTCTGCGCAAGCACGGACTGCGAGGACACCTACCGGAGACACTACTTAGGCTCAACACTGTGCTCGTGTAGCCACATTTTGGCAGTGGCGGTCGTGGCAGCAGGAAGTCGAGTCCACTGAGCAACGTTCTTCCTTTGCGCAGGTGCTGACTTGTGCATATCGTGACAGTTGTCTGGTTCGGCTCTTCGGGCTATCGGGATATTCTCTGGATTTCTCGACCCGTCTACTTGGAATATCTGGTCAAGCAACGTCACTACCCTGTCGCTACAGCCACAAAGAACCAACTTTCTGCGCAAGCACGGACTGCGAGGACACCTACCGGAGACACTACTTAGGCTCAACACTGTGCTCGTGTAGCCACATTTTGGCAGTGGCGGTCGTGGCAGCAGGAAGTCGAGTCCACTGAGCAACGTTCTTCCTTTGCGCAGGTGCTGACTTGTGCATATCGTGACAGTTGTCTGGTTCGGCTCTTCGGGCTATCGGGATATTCTCTGGATTTCTCGACCCGTCTACTTGGAATATCTGGTCAAGCAACGTCACTACCCTGTCGCTACAGCCACAAAGAACGAACTTTCTGCGCAAGCACGGACTGCGAGGACACCTACCGGAGACACTACTTAGGCTCAACACTGTGCTCGTGTAGCCACATTTTGGCAGTGGCGGTCGTGGCAGCAGGAAGTCGAGTCCACTGAGCAACGTTCTTCCTTTGCGCAGGTGCTGACTTGTGCATATCGTGACAGTTGTCTGGTTCGGCTCTTCGGGCTATCGGGATATTCTCTGGATTTCTCGACCCGTCTACTTGGAATATCTGGTCAAGCAACGTCACTACCCCTGTCGCTACAGCCACAAAGAACCAACTTTCTGCGCAAGCACGGACTGCGAGGACACCTACCGGAGACACTACTTAGGCTCAACACTGTGCTCGTGTAGCCACATTTTGGCAGTGGCGGTCGTGGCAGCAGGAAGTCGAGTCCACTGAGCAACGTTCTTCCTTTGCGCAGGTGCTGACTTGTGCATATCGTGACAGTTGTCTGGTTCGGCTCTTCGGGCTATCGGGATATTCTCTGGATTTCTCGACCCGTCTACTTGGAATATCTGGTCAAGCAACGTCACTACCCTGTCGCTACAGCCACAAAGAACGAACTTTCTGCGCAAGCACGGACTGCGAGGACACCTACCGGAGACACTACTTAGGCTCAACACTGTGCTCGTGTAGCCACATTTTGGCAGTGGCGGTCGTGGCAGCAGGAAGTCGAGTCCACTGAGCAACGTTCTTCCTTTGCGCAGGTGCTGACTTGTGCATATCGTGACAGTTGTCTGGTTCGGCTCTTCGGGCTATCGGGATATTCTCTGGATTTCTCGACCCGTCTACTTGGAATATCTGGTCAAGCAACG